AGAACTACTTACAGCATTTAATGAGCAGGGTGATTCATTTCTCCCTGATAGAAGCAGGATTATTCTCCACCCCAGAGGTTCACGTGGACATCCAAGACCTTAGATTAATGCTTGGAAAAAAAAGACGATGAGCTACAAGAGCTGGTACTAGCATTTTCCACATTTATCATCCTGAGATGTTTTCTCAAGGCTGACAGCTGGTCCTAGTTCTGGTTCCTGTTCTGCCACTCTTGAGCTGCATCCTGCTTCGGGGAAGGAGATATATTACGCAGATAAAACGTGCAAAATAAATGTTTGCGCAGGCTCGCCTGGCTGACTCATGGATGTTGGAGATGGGGGCACCTGCCGTGTTTCTTTTCTATGTAGAGAGCGATCTTCTTTATCCAAAGCAAAAAGAAAAAAGAAACCCAAACACAAATAATCACATCATAGAAGATGTCTTTGCCTAGGGCAGGGGTCTCCAGATGTGACAACTTTAATGGCTGGCTGAGGACTTCTGGGAGTTGAAGTCCACAAATCTTAAAAGTGGCCAGGTTTGGCGACCTCTGACTGGGGGGGGGGGAAAGACACCAAATTGCTTCCCATAAATCAAATACATTTACCAGAAACTTTATACCTGTTCCTAAGTACTTTTTTGTATTTTAATAATAATAATAAAGTTGGAAGGGACCTTGGAGGTCATCCAGTCCCACCCCCTGCTCAGGCAGGAAACCCTACACCATATTGGACAAATGGCTGTCCGGTCTCTTCTTAAAAACTTCCAGTGTTGGAGCATTCACCGCTTCTGGAGGCAGGTAGTTCCACTGGTTAATTGTTCTCACTGTCAGGAAGTTTCTCCTTAGTTCTAGGCTGCTTCTCTCCTTGGTGAGTTTCCCTCCGTTTTATGCGCCCAGTAATCTTCACTTTTATAATCAGGGGCTCCTGAGGTGCTGAAAATGAAGCGGCCGTGTTCCTTGTTCACCTTTGGTTTTTAATTTATTTTTTTAAATTGCCTTGTAATTAAAAATTAATAGGTGGGGAAACCTAGCGTGCTTCAAAACCAAGAACAGGTTTCAAGTGGGAAAAAAAACCCCCCGCAACCCTGGACTTTTTTCTTTGAAAATATTACTTTAAAAAGAAACGCTGACGAGAAAGGGAAGAATCCTGGGAAATATAACCTTGAGGATGCTGCATTCATCCTCTAGATCAGGGGTTCCCAACCTCCGGTCCGTAGACCGGTACCGGTCCTTGGGCATGCCAGCAACCGGTCCGCACAAACAAGCAAAGCCCCATTTGGGTGCAGGCAGCACACAAAACCACACACTCTCCGGTCCGTGGAAAAACCTCTCACTACGGAACCGGTCCCTGGTGCCCCAAAAGGTTGGGGAACCTCTGCTCTAATTTGCAGTGCTTTTTTCAAACTGGGCAAATTTGTGTGGACTTCAACTCCCAGAATTCCCCAGCCAGCACCCATTCTAGGAGTTGGAAGTCCAACATCTTAAACAGTTGCCAAGTTCAAAAAAAAAACCCCGATCGAGTGTCCTCCACGTGTGCCAAATGCCACTTGGTGAGAATGCTGAAGAAAAGTTCTTAAAAGTCAAATATATCCAATAGCCCCATGAAGTCAGGGAATCAATACTAAAGGGAAGGGTTGATGTTTTAATTGTGACAGATGCAGGATTAAATCATGTGTACTAGATCAAGGGCTCTTCAAACGTGGCCCTTTTGTGACTTGTGGACTTCAACTCCCAGAATTCCTCAGCCTGGCTGAAGAATTCTGGGAGCTGAAGTCCACAAGTCACAAAAAGGGCCAAGTTTGAAGGCCCCTGTACTAGATGATGAGAAGATGCGGCAACTCTTCCCATTTGATTTAGATAAGATGTCCACTTCATCTGCCAAATTTTGTGGCCGGCAAATGTGTATTACGTGTACGTTACACGTAATTGTAAGTTTATTGTTCAGAAGCATTCTTGAGTCTTTCTGTAAAGGACGCCAAAGTGCCCTTCGATTGTGAAACAAGATGGGTAGCAAATAAATTCGATGAATGAATGAAGGTGGGGCCTGCAATAATCACAATAAACCAGTGATCTCCATAGGCCTGTCCTCACTGACAAGTTTATAGGCTTTTTTTTCTGCAGAATGTAGCCTGCAGCTTTACTGGTTAACTAGAATGCAGAGGAGGTATTAGTAATTTTGAAATTGTTAATTGCTTTATACTCTTAACAGTGTCTTATAACCCAGTTTGTTGTAGAACATAGCCAGTTTGATTGATCTCAGCAAGTTAAGATCAGACTGAATTAATAGTGGGCTAGGAAAACTGAAGCTGTAGGCTAAATTGTGAAGTTGAATAAACATCCCCAAAGAATACAGGGGGGCAACAAATTCCGTATTGTTGCCAAGAAAAGTATTTATTTATATTCCATATTTCTAAACTGCTTATCTCCCTCAAACACGGATGAATGCGTGAAATCATTGAGGATCAACCTGGAGTTGAAGACTTTATTTTACATTTAGAAATCCGAAGTCTTTATCATAATCCTCCAGAGATCTATCAATAGATTCTTTTAATACCCGTATATACTTGATTTACCAGAGTTATTCCCGATTTCTGATTCCATTGCTAAGAATATGGGTTATTTCACGGAGAAATGTACCTGTCAACACAGAAATTGCTGATCAATAAAATCTTTCTATAGTGATAAATTCTACACGAATGAGCTAACACAGTGGTTCTCAACCTGTGGGTCGGGACCTCATTTGGGATCGAACGACCATTTCACGGGGGTCGCCAAACAACGCAGTCCGCCATTTTTCCCCCTTTTCCTTAGCTGTGCTACTCCCTTTTATTCTATTGGCTTTTGAAAGCCAATAGAATAGACTCTCTTGAATAGAGTCTAATTCTATTGCTTTCAAAAGCCAATAGGAATTGTCCAGGCTGTCTCTGCCCTGCTGAGCCCGCCAAAAGTCCCATTCTGCAAACGGTGCTGCACCAGTTGAGTAGTCCTCGACTTACGACCGGTTGAGTAGTCCTCGACTTACGACCAGTTGGAGGTCGCGGCATTAAAAAGGTTGAGAACCACTGAGCTAACAGATGTATTATGCTTGAAGCTTTCGGACAATTAACTTGATAAACCGAACACTAGCTCATAAAATCCTATATCATAATAAACCTATTGGTCTTTGTGTTAGCTCCACTGTATCATTGACGATAATTAATACCTGGATTTGAGCGTTCGCATCTAAACAAATATATTTGCAGCTCTTCCAAAAAAACTGCAGCTAACCTCTGTAACACATTTAAACCCCGACTGTTATTTTTTTTTTCTCTCTCTCCCTTAGGCTCATGCAACAGTCTGGCACAATTACGACCGACATTTTCGACCCCAGCAGAGAGGTTTTTTATCGATCACGTTGGGATCTCACTGGGTTGAGCCGAGCAAACTCAATAACGAATCCGACATTGAAAAGTGTCAGCTGTCCATGCAGAAAGTCCTCGGCTGGTTTGCAAAGCCGATACACGGAGACGGCGATTACCCCGAAGAGCTGAAGAGGGAACTTCCCGCTCTGCTCCCAAAAGCCACGCCGACCGAAAGGAAATATTTTCAAGGGACGGCCGATTTCTTTGCATTTTCCTTCGGGCCAGATAACTTTAAACCTCCGGGCAAGGTGCCCAAAATGGGGCAAACTTTCTCCCTCGACTTGAGGGGAGTTTTGAACTGGATTAAAGCGGAATACAACCCTCCCAGGGTCCTGATTGCGGAAAATGGCTGGTTCACCAACAAAGATGTAAAAACAGAAGATACGACGGCGATTTACACAATGAAGACTTTTGTTAATAAGGTTTTGCAAGGTGTGTAAGGCGACCGGGGGGGGGGGAGAGATTCGAACGAGGGTCACTTACACGAGACAATAAGAGTCAACCACAGGCAGTCCTCGGCTTTTTACAACGGTTCATTTAGCGACCGTTCCAAGTTACAACGGCACTGGAAAAAAAAAGAGGGACTGAGGTCCGTTTTTCACACTTAACAATACTGCGGCATCCCCACGGTCACGTGATCAAAAATTCAGCCGCTCGACGAGCGACTCATAGTTATGACGGTGGTAGCGTCCCAAGTGACGCGGTCACGTTTTACAGCCTTTTCTGACAAGCCAAGTCAGCGGAGGATCCGGATTCACCTTACAACGGTGTTATTAGCTTAACGACTGCAGCGGCGCCCTTAAGAACTGTGACAAGTCGTAAAATGGGGCAAAAGTCACTTAACAAATTTAGCCATTGACATTTGGGGCTCAGTTGTGGCCGTTAAGTCGAGGACTGCCTGTACATAGGACGATAAATTCGTGACGGGTAGCTAGCTTTGCAGAATGTGTTTACAGGTAAGCATCAGCTCAAAGGCCGGCAGGTGAAATAGTCACCTGAAGCTTGCAAATTTTCTTTTCTCCCACTGCAGTCCTAAAGACAATCCCTCCAGTCCATTGGAAGGAAATACCTGGGACAAGTGGTTGATGATATATTAAGTGAGGTCATCCACGGGCCTTGAACTAAATTAAAAGCTCTTGGAAGCAATTAGTCTAGATCAGTGTCGCTTAAAAGTACGGTCCAAGGACTACTGCGGGTCCCCCAAGACCATCTCAAAATGTCTGCAGAGTCAAAGTCGTTTGTCAGATGTTGAAGATATTTGCAAAAATCTAAAACAATATCCCTCTTTCTCATTATTTGTTAAAAATATACGGTTTTTTTTTTAAAATGAAAAATACTTCTATGTTAACATCTAATAGTTTTTGATCTTTATCCGATTCAGCAAATGTTCTACAAATGTGTTTTTTTTAATGAAAAATACTTCTACGTTAACATCTAATAGTTTTTGATCTTTATCCAATTCAGCAAATGTTCTACAAATGTGTTTTTTTTTAATGAAAAATACTTCTACGTTAACATCTAATAGTTTTTGATCTTTATCCGATTCAGCAAATGTTCTACAAATGTTTTTTTAATGAAAAATACTTCTACGTTACTATCTAATAGTTTTTGATCTTTATCCGATTCAGCAAATGTTCTACAAATGTGTTTTTTTAAATGAAAAATACTTCTACGTTACTATCTAATAGTTTTTGATCTTTATCCGATTCAGCAAATGTTCTACAAATATTAAACATCAGAATGCCTCCTGATCCCTCAAGGGTTAATTATAAATCTGAGGGTTTATTTCTTTAAAAACCCAGATCGTGTCTGTTTTGATTTTTAATGTGCCAAACATTGATAAACATACGCTATGTAAACAAAAGCTGTTTTGGGGTCCTCCATAATAATTTTTAGAAGTGAGAAAGAGTCCCAATAGCAAAAACCTGAAGATAACACTGGTCCAGATCTTCGGTGATAAAAATTATCCATGCCTTCCTTAAATTGCTTTCCAGAAGTGGGGGGAAATAAGTGAAAAGATACGAGGTGGACCAGACTTAATGTGATCCCATCCAATTAGTCTTGAAGAAATAGCTGCCCATCAAAAAATAATCCCTTCGACTGGAACCAGGCAAACAAAGCAGGCAGTTGCTAAGAGAATTCCTTTGTCACCTTCCTTGCTGGCTTAACGTTTGTGATGAGTGCCAGGCGTGGTTTGTTAATTGGACAATTATTTTTTTTATTTATTTGCCTTGCGCAGCTATTAAATACGATCAGATTGAGGTGTTCGGCTACGTGTCTTGGTCTCTCCTGGATGGATTCGAATGGCAACAGATGTTCAACAACCGGCGAGGATTGTTTTACGTAGACTTTAATAGTAAAGAGAAGGATCGGATCCCCAAGTCATCTGCCTTTTATTATAAGCAAATTATTCAGGAGAACGGCTTTCCTGCGGAAGAATCGACCCGGACTTTGCAAGGCCAATTTCCTCCGGAGTTTTTCTGGGGCATCACCGAATCAGTTATCAAGGTAAGCAACCTAAAAGCAAGCATCCCAACTATTTGGGATGGATAAAATTCATTAAAAATGTATTTAGAGTCTTCCCCAAGTGTTGCAAATATTAAACGTCAGAATGCCTCCTGATCCCTCAAGGGTTAATTATAAATCTGAGGGTTGTTTCTTTAAAAACCCAGATCAGTTTATTGAGGTAGATGTCCCAAACCATAGGTTTCTAAGGTCTTTGCTCGAAAAAAAAAAAAAAAGACATACAATTAGGAGTAGAACATAAATCAGAAGGTTATATATGTGAAACACACATTCCTCAAATGCACGAGGCACAAAAATAGTTATTACAGTGTTTCTCAACCTGGACAATTTTAAGGCATGTGGTCTTCAACTCCCAGAATTCCACAGCCAGCATTGCTGGTTGTGGAATTCTGGGAGTTGAAGTCCACATGCTTTAAAATTGTCCAGGTTGAGAAACACTGACTTATTAGGTTGGGGCTGTAAAGAATGCCAGGTGAAAGTCTCAACACGCTAGAGAAAACATTCTTACCTTATAGATTATTCTTAGGGCATAAATATGTTCAAGAGATGGGAGAAACTTAACCGAGAACTGTATTACTCACCTCAGGCTTAGCAAGATAAGAACATAACTCTGGTGGAGTAACCAGTGGTCTCCCATCTCTCTTTTAAGACCAAGCAGTCTCTTCCAGAACAGGCTGAATACCCTTCATCTACCTCAGGGGTTCTCAACCTTGGCAACTTTAAGACTTGTGGACTTCAACTCCCAGAATTGCTCAGCCAGCTTTGCTGGCTGAGGAATTCTGGGAGTTGAAGTCCACAAGTCTTAAAGTTCCCAAGGTTGAGAACCCCGGATCTACCTGAAGACCAAAAAGACCTTGACCTTGCCTAGATATATGGATTTCTTGTCCTCCGTGCAGTAAGTGGTTGTGTTCAAACATTAATTCAGAACAACCCTCCCTCCCAACTTCATCTGCCTCTGATGGATGGGAGGCAAAACTGAACGTTATTTGCAGACTGACATCCCAGCTCATCTTTTTATATGGCCTTGTCTAGATGTATTGATCTCTTAACGTTCATCCAGGACTTCCCACCATAGTTGAGTCAGCAGATGGAGCAGTAGCTTCAGCGGTTGCCTCAGAAGGGTTGCACTTTGTCCATGCTAGATATCCTCCTCTTAAGACGCCACCCTATATTAGAGGAACTGACCGGGATGCTCTTCAGATCATGCTCTAACTGCTCTGTCTAAATCTAAAATATTGGGAAGGAGGAAAGCCACGTATTTATTTTATTTTATTTATTTATTAATAAAATTTATATGCCGCCCAATCCCTAGGGACTCAGGGCGGCATACAAAATTAAAACAATAAATATAACAATAAAATAAGTGCATTCATACAGCATGTCCCAATCGTATTTCGGCCCCCCCGGGGACATCAACCCCAGGCCTGCCGGAACAGGAGAGTTTTAATGGCTTTTTTAAAGGCCGGCAAGGTGGGAGTAGTTCGAATCTCAGGGGGAAGTTGATTCCACCAGGTCGGAGCCACCACAGAAAAGGCCCTTCCCCGAGGGCCCACCAGCCGACATTGTCTGGCCGACGGGACCTGAAGGAGGCCCAATCTGTGGGACCTCACCGGTCTCTGGGAACTATGCGGCAGTATGCGGTCCTGTAAGTAACCTGGCCCTATGCCATGAAGGGCTTTAAAGGTGATAACCAACACCTTGAATTGCGTCCAGAGACCCACAGGAAGCCAGTACAGCTCGTGGAGGATAGGTGACACGTGGGTGTACCTTGGTGCACCCACAATCGCTCTCGCGGCTGCATTCTGAACCAACTGCAGCCTCCGAACGCTCTTCAAGGGTAGCCCCATGTAGAGCGCATTACAGTAATCCAGTCTTGAGGCGACAAGGGCATGAGTGACCGTGAGTAGAGCCTCCCGGTCCAAATAAGGCCGCAACTGGTGCACCAGGCGAACCTGGGCAAAGGTCCCCCTGGCCACAGCCGATAGATGTTGTTCCAAATTTAGTGGTGAGTCCAGGAGGACGTATGTAAATCAATATTCCTTTCTTAAATCTTAATTCTCGTTTACAGGCAGAATCCTTAGCTTCTTCTCCTCAGTTCTGTGACCCTAACCTGTATCTCTGGAACGTCTCCGGCGACGGAAAATTCTACCAGGTGAAGGGAGTGAGATTGAAAACCCGGCCAGTTCAATGCACGGACTTCACCAGCCTTAAAACACATCTTCAACTGCTCTCGCGAATGAAGGTCACTCATTATAGATTCGCCTTCAATTGGTCGCTGCTCCTCCCCAGCGGCGATCCCTTGTCCCTTAACCGCCAAGTCCTTCGGTATTACCGATGTCTGATTAGCGAGACGCTCAAGCTCAACGTGAAGCCCGTGGTCACCTTGTACTATCCGACCCACCAGTCACTAAGCCTGCCGGGTCCTTTCCTTCAACACGGTGGTTGGTTGAATCAATCCACCGTCCGGGCATTTACAACTTACGCCGAAAAGTGCTTCCAGGAATTTGGAGACCTGGTTAAATTCTGGATCACCATCAACGAGCCAAATCGGTTCGGTGAGGTTTACAACGGCAGCAGCAATGACACGTACCGGGCAGCTCACAACTTGCTGATGGCGCACGCCATGGCTTGGCAGGTCTACGATAAACGGTATCGGTCTTCCCAGCGGGGTCAGGTGTCCCTGTCTCTGCACTGCGATTGGGCGGAACCTGCCAACCCTTATCTCGATAGCCACTTGGAAGCGGCCGAGAGGTTCCTCCAGTTTGAAGTGGCCTGGTTTTTAGACCCTCTGCTGAAAACGGGGGATTATCCCCCAGCCGTGAGGAAATATCTCGGTTACAAAAAAGGCCAAGGCCTCTCCAGTTCCTTTTTGCCGTTTTTCACCAAGGGAGAGAAGCAGCTGGTTCGAGGGGCTGCCGATTTTATCGCCGTGAATCACTTCACCACGAGATTTGTGGCCCACGAGTCGAAGAACGGGAGCCGGTATGAATTCGACCAGGACATTCAACTCGTGCAAGATTTCACCTACCTCAGTTCCCCCCTTCGCTCCGCCGTGGTGCCTTGGGGGTTACGCAAAGCCCTGAACTGGATCCGTCGGCGTTACGGCGACATGGACATTTATCTCACCGCCAGTGGGATCGAGGATCCGTCGAACGACAACGACGAGCTCCGAAAATACTACATCGGGAAGTACGTGCAGGAAGCGTTTAAAGGTGAGGAGATGGTGAACCGACGCTCATCCCGCTAATTCAGAAGTGTCCTGTGATTGGTTTAGCAAACTTGAAAGGGGGCTGCTTGACTGCATCTCCTTTGCGCAGAAGGGATGAAACTGCTTCAAGGGAAGACACACTATTTTTATAGACTGGAATAATTGTTAGGTTTTCTGTAGCGTGCGGGTCTACTGCAGGGGTCTTCAAACTTGGCAACTTGAAGACTTGTGGACTTCAACTCCCAGAATTCCTCAGCCTGTCTACAAGTCTTAAAAGTTGCCAAGTTTGAAGCCCCCTGGTCTACTAAATGGCCATTTTTAGCATCAAAACATCACACTGGGGACAGGAATTAGAAGAGATCTGCTAGCAGTGTATCAAACCAACACATTTTCATTAAAAAGCATAACCTTTTGTAAGGAAAGCATCTTGATTATGGGTACACACAAGATAGATTACGGATACCACGTCAATTAAGGATTGTGGTTGTAATGGGTAAAAAAAAATAACTCAGCTTCCTGATTTTTGGCTGCTAGATTAACACGGCTCCCTCCTACAGTGTCTAAAATGGAAGCAAAGGATTCATTCACACATGTGCTGTGCTTGGCACAACAGTGGTGTGTTTGATTTGTTCTTTACACTTCAGTCCTAAATGAGGCTTCCCATCCCTACTGCTCTTCAGATGTGTTAAACGACGTGTGTTGTGCTGGCTGGATTATTGTCTAGCATTTCTGGTGAGCTGTAAATTGAAAAGGGTTGTTCCCATTATATTCAGCAAATCCAGGCCAAACATCACACACATATACGCACACCTTCCTTTACTACAGGTAGTTCATTTTTGTAGAATTGTACATAATCCTGCCCAAAGCAATTTTTTTTTTGGTCAGCTGTAAAGATGACTTCAGCAACTATGTTTTCCAAGTGATACTGTCAAATTATTTTTCATCATGCAGTTGATAACTTTCTAAAAAAAAAAAAAAAATACCAGACTATTCCATCCAAAAATATATTTAACTTGATATAGCAAAATCTACAAAACAAAAGCCAGAGCAATAAAATACAACACTAATACCTTTTCAGCAATCGTATCTTTTTTATCACTTGGACTTTGAAATATGTGATCGGAAATCAAGACTAATAATGAAAGACATTTCAATCCAAACCAGCTCACAAGGGTTGATGTTGTGAAGATGGCTGGAGGAAGAAAAAAATAATAGGTGTGCTTGAATAAAGACGAGATAAAGACAGATAAAATAAAAATGAGAGGATGATAAGGCTGACTGCTCCTCGCTTTTAACAAATGCAAATGTAAGAATCTGATGCAAGCGGTTGAATAAAGGTATAGTTTTCTGATTATCACACTTTGTTCTACTTAGCAGAACGAGAACGCCCCCAGATAAAGCTGTGAAGCTTTAATGGAATTTAGCTTTGTACTCTTAACTCAGCTCTGGCTATGTGGAATAAATCCAGTGGCTTTTCAGTTTAATCTTATTGCAAAAGATTATTGTGAAAATCATAGCAACTTGAAGAATTGATTTAGGTCGGAGGAGAACGTGAAATTCTGCAAAAGCTCTGTATTTTAATTGTGAGGGATAACAAACGGTATTAAAAGACGAGAGCAGAATAGAGTGAGAGAACAGGATTAAGAAGTGTCATACAAGCAAATTACCAACAATCTTTGTATGGTCAAAGCTTAACAAACCTTTACATTTCTGAGGATTACAGTCTACCAAAATGCCAAGAATATTATAGGGCAGTGATGGCGAACCTTTTAGAGACCGAGTGCCCCAAAACCACCCCCCCACCCCGTCCCCATTCCGCCCTGCCCGCTGGGTCACCCACCACCTCCACGGCCCGCCACAGATCACCCAGGCAGCCCAGCAGCGCCATGGTGGCCACGCCCTCCACCCGCATCCTACAGCATCATCTGCGTGTGACAGGGCTCAAGGGCGGAGTCTTGTCCCCGCTGCCCGGCTACCATGTCCTTGGCTGCGCTGCTTCCTCTGGGGGGGGGCTGCTGGTGAGGAGGGGGCCATGGGAGGCGGGGCTGGGACGACGGTGCGTGTGCCCACAGAGAGGGCTCCGAGTGCCGCCTCTGGCACGCGTGCCATTGGTTCACCATCACTGTTATAGGGTATACAAGCAGTGCTCGACGTACGACCACAATGGAGCCCAAAATGTCTGTGGCTAAGTCAGACATTTGTTAAGTGAGTTTTACCCCATTTTACGACCTTTCTTGTCACCGCCATTAAGCGAATCCCGAAGCTGATAAGTTAGTAAAACGACTGTTAAGTGAATCTGGCTTCCCCATTGACGTTGTTTATCAGGTGGTCGCAAAAGGGGGATCACGTGACCTGGGGCAGTGCAACTGTCGTGAACTAGTCAGTTGCCAAGGCTTTCAATTTTGGATCACATGACCAACAGGGATGCTGCAGCCGTTATAAGGATGCTGCAGCGGTCAGAAGTCCCTTTTTTGGGAGCCGCTGTAACTTCGAACGGTCACTAAATGAACTGTTGTTAAATCGAGGACCACCTGTAACACACCTTATTATTTAAGAAGAGGAAGCAAATGAGAAAATGGCAAGCGAGACTGTAAGAATCATTTTTAAAGCAATGCTTCTGCCTCAAAAGTAATCTATGCGGCGTGACAAGAAATCATAATGAATTGGAAGACGTTCTCTTAATTCTTGAAAGCTTCTAGAAAAAATGTTAATTGTGTTATTAACACCAACAAAATACTTTTAAAAAAAAAACCTTACAGAAATCCAGGCAAGGTTGTTCCTTCAGAAAAAAATGAGTTTACACCCATTTTTTTCCTTTCCAAATACTATGGTTCGGCTTTTCGGTTCACGCAGAAATACGCAATTAACGTGAGCCTTGTTGTCCTTTTCAGCTTACCACGTCGACAAAGTCAACCTCAAAGGCTACTTTGGGTTTAAGCTCACGGACGAAGTCGCCAAACCCAAAATTGGATTCTTTACTGCCGAATTCCAGGCCAAAGCTTCCGTCCAATTCTACAACCAGCTGATCTGCAACAACGGCTTCCCTGCTGAGCCTGCCCATAAATGCAGCCCACACATGGAAACGGCTTCCTGCACGCTCTGCCTGCTTCTCATTCGGGAAAAGCCGCTAATCTTCCTCGGATGCTGCCTTTTGGCTACACTAGCGACGCTTCTAAGTATCGTTGCGTTTCATAAACGAAAGAAAAGAAAACAAGAGTGGTCAAAATACTTCCAGCACTTTGGCCTTTCTGTTGAAACTAAAGCTAAGAAAGTCCCTAGCCAGATATAGAACTGTTTTCTTTTGTCCATTTGGCAACAAGGATCAGAAAAGTTAGCGGAAACACTCCCTATTCTTGTTCAGCAAGATACTTACCATCAGAACGCCAAATTCAGGATTCTGACACAGAACAACACTTTGGGTTTTTACCAAGGATTCACTCTACATTCTTCTTCCCTGTCTTAAGATATTTCTAGCTGCTTACTACGGAGAATATGGTGTCCAGTCCAAACTAGCCTTATTCCCTTTCTTCAGCCTCTGATTAATATATACAATCCAGTCCAACAGAAGCTATTCAACATATTGTAAGGCTTGCACATCTCCACGTGAGAGCGAACTATTAAAAAGGATGCATGTTGGTTCGTTATTTTAATTCGAATGCAACCAAAGTGTTTCTGTTGGGTCTGTTGGGATAAACTCTGTGGTTCAGTTTGAAATGACAAGATTTTTTAGAAGCGTGCACTTTTCAAGAAATGTCTTCGCCTTTCTCAAGTATAATTCTCCAGGGTTTGTGTGTATGTGCTGTGGTTTATAGATGGAACGTTTACGATATCTTTTATTTCATTTTTTGCAATCCAAGTTGGTTAAATACCAGCATGTATTAACATTTATCACTAATGCTTGCCTCCCATTTTGTCTCTCGCCCCCCCAAAAAAATTCAATTAGGTAACGGAGTTTAATGGTGAGATTGTAGCTTTTAATTCAGTTTCCAAAATAAGAAACAAGCGGAGTTTTGGGAAAAGACCGGAAATATCTCACAATTTGAATTAAACCAACCAATTCCAGATTCCGAATGGCCTGAAGATAAATAATATTCCACTGTCTTAGCGTGTGAGACTCTCACATGTAACTCCTAAAGCAGTGTTTCTCAACCTGAAGACAATTTTAAGGCATGTGGACTTCAACTCCCAGAATTCCACAGCCAGCAATGCTGGCTGTGGAATTCTGGGAGTTGAAGTCCACATGCCTTAAAATTGTCAAGGTTGAGAAACACTGTCCTAAAGTATATGAAAAACTTGAAAGGGTTCACAGTGCAACCTAAAGATACTTATCTTACCGTGTTTGTGTTGTGATGGGCAACTGAGCAGTCCATTCTCAAAATTAACAGCGACTCAAAGGCTATCCCATGCACAATCACAAAATACAGGATATTAAAAGATTAGGGTTTTATTTTTTCTCAAACCAATCTGAGACTGTTCAGTTCAAATAGAAAATTTGCAAGATGTGTCATGTCCCCAGTTTGCCATTTCAGGACCTAAAACCATAAAAAATGTTTTATTGTTGAAGCAGGAAAAAAAATCATCAAGAAAATAACTTTATTTCCATTCTCTGACAAACATATTCAAGCTAAGGCGATAAAGAGTACTGTGCTGTGACATTTTATAGATGTCTTTGCGTGTATGAGAAGCTCTTACATATATGTTTATGTTGTTCTGCTGCATTTTTGCTGTTTCCCCATTGTCCTTTTTGTTAAATAAAGGCAAACCAATGGAAAAAAAAATATTAACTGATAGTATCGGTCTGTGAAGTGAATATATATCAGCAGATAAACATCCCTATCAACAGATGGGAGTGTTGGATATTTCAGATTTTTCTAAAATACTTGTGTTTTTCAAAGATTTTAGAAAATATTTTAAAGCAAGGAAGGGCAGGAGAACTTAGCCATTTCATCACCACAAATGCTGAACAATCATCTCAGATGTAAATCATAATTTACTGTTTTGGGTCACGAGGCGAGACAATATTCTTTTACTTCGTCTTAAACCAGGGGTAGGCAACCGTGGCTCTTTTATGACTTGTGGACTTCAACTCCCAGAATTCCTCAGCCAGCCTGGCTCAGCTTGGAAACCTCTCCCTTTCCCCTCAGCACGGCTGGCTCAGGAATTCTGGGAGTTGAAGTCCACGAGTCATAAAAGAGCCAAGGTTGCCTACCCCTGTGTTAAACCATAGGATATACATCAATGGCATTACAAATTTGGCAAGTCTCAAAAGGCTTATTAGAACTGAACATAAGTCAATAGTTGGATAGAAAAAGTCATCAAGGAGCTGTAAGCAAGACTGAAAAGGTGAAAAACAGCCTGGAAGGGCAATCACAAAGAGCCATCGTCAAGAAAACTATTAAGTTGTGTTTCTGTGGTGGCCATGAATTGAATTGAATTCAATAAAGATTCATTTTCACCCTAGATACGAAGAACTGTTGCAAGAATTGGGTATGGCTAGTCTAGTGAAAAGGACTGTGTGTGTGTGTGTGTGTGTGATATAACAGTATTTCAATATATGAGGGACTGTCACAGAGAAGAGGGGTTCAACCTATTCTCCAAAGCACCTGAGGGCAGGACAAGAAGCAAGGGGGAGAAACTCATCAAGGAGAGAAGCAATCTAGAACAAAGGAGAAACTTCCTGACAGTCAAAACAATTAACCAGTGGAACTCCTTGCCTCCAGAAGTTGTGAATGCTCCAACACTGGAAGTTTTTAAGAAGAGACTGAACAGCCATTTGTCTGAAATGGCATAGGGTCTCCTGCTTGAGCAGGGGGTTGGACTAGAAGACCTCCAAGGTCCCTTCCAAGTCTGCTATTCTGGATCCACTTATATCTGTCTATAAAAGTGGATGTAAAGCCTACCCATATTCCAGGCAGTGGACTATTCTTAACATTGGGACTATACCTCCTCAAATCATAACGAGCAAGTCACATTCAAATGGCCGTTAATTAATGCTTTCCTCACTGTCTATTTCAATCAAACACAAGCTAAAATGAGAAGTAACCTTTCTCAATTATTCACTTTTCAGATGAAGAAGTCAATGTTGATGCCTTTCCAACTACCTCTGTGATTTTATGAGCAACCCTCATTGTTCCAACATCTAGGATCAATATATATATATATACACAGGTCTTTGGTTATTCGGGTTTTCTCCCACGTCAAATTGGAAGTGTCTTGGCGACGTTTCAACGAAGTCTCATTCATCATCTTCAGGCTGGTGTCTTCGGCTTCGTGCTTCTAGGAGCACGAAGCCGAAGACACCAGCCTGAAGATGACGAATGAGACTTCGTCGAAATGTCGCCAAGACACTTCCAATCTGACACGGGAGAAAACCCAAATAACCAAAGACCTACGTACAAACACCCGCAAAAACCTCAGAAAACAAATATATATATATGGTAACTTACAAAAATGGCGCTCGTAAATCACTTGATGAGCAGGGTGTGTCTACTGTACACCAGACCCGAAAAATGATCTTATCACTTCCCCGCAGACTATTCCAGATTATTAAATCAGTCATCCAGCATGTATTCTAAACAGCTACGTCTAGTTGCTAAAAAATATCCTCAGAAATGGTCCAGTAACATACAGCATCTCAGAGGCTTGTGACTGAGACGAGTTGAAATAAAAATTCAATGAATGTCCCTGCTCTGAATAGCCAAACTTAATCCAGGATATTTTTGCTTATTTATATTTCATGTAGAGCACATGGAATTATGTTAAAAAAATAAAATAAAAGAATATCACTAACTTGTTATCGGGTTTTATTCATCTGCTTGTTGTACTGTTCCTTTCTCGGAGACGTAGATACCGTCCAAGAATTTTCTTATGTCTTTATTCTTGACAGTTGTGGCTTGCTGGATCAAGGCAGCTATAAAAAAAAAACAAAAACCAAAGACAGTCCTATTTAGCTTGGAAAGACAACATAGTTACCCCCTCCAGATTCAACAACTGATTTAACAAAAGCTAGGGCCACAATGAAATCAAATTAGATGGCAAAGCCAAATGAAGCCATTTGTAGCAAGATAACAATAAATAAAAAAAAGCACAGAAGTAAACATGAGGACACCCTGTTAAGAATAACAATAAAACTTCCCTGATCTTCAGATTTATTTAAACGGTTTCCAAATGCTTTGCATGACATAGCACAAACTTAGCAATGGGACAAAATGGAATATAAAGCTCAAATGACACACCAGAGTTAGATACCAATTCAATGTCATTTCCTTCAAGGATCAGTTCATCCTTCTGAGCTTGCGACACTGCACAATTAACACCTGAAGTAGGGAAAAAAAACAACATTTTAGAAAAGATTATCACTAAAAAAAGGGAAAAGAAAACGTGCTCAAAAAAGCTGATTTTCAACTTAAGAAAAATACATTATTCGTGCGCTCACTGTATTTTGCCTTTTTAAAAGCAAGAATTTGTTTCCCTTCAAAGGAAACTTCCTAGCAAAGCCAGAATAAGCATTACAAAAGTTCTCGTCCGCAACAAGTATGCATCACAACAAAGAACACGCTGTGCAGTATTCAAGCTATAAAACACCCAAGGCCATGAGTACCGCTTTGACAATTCCGTAGCTGTATCAAAATAAATAAAAAAAAATCTGTGGTTGACATAGTGTAAAACCTGTTTGTAAAACTAATGAAATCAGTTGTCTATCAACTTTTCAGACTATTCCAAGATTCCCCTAAAGCAGACATTTTCAAACTTGGCAAACGCTTCAGATGTGTGGCCTTCGACTCCCAGTTCGAAACACACAGATCTCAAGCACAGAAGAATAGTATAACAGTTGGAAGGGACCTTGTAGATCATCTAGCCCAGTGATGGCGAACCTTTTAGAGACCGAGTGCCCAAACTGCAACCCAAACTCCACTTACAGTCAGGTCCAGAAATATTGGGACATTGACACAATTCGAACATCTTTGGCTCTATACACCACCACAATGGAGTTGGAATGAAACAAACACAATGTGCTTTAACTGCAGACTGTCAGCTTTAATTTGAGGGTATGTACATCCAACTCAGGTGAATGGGATAGGACTTACAGCAGTCTGCATATGTGCCTCCCACTTGTTAAGGGACCAAAGGTAATGGGACAATTGGCTTCTCAGCTATTCCATGGCCAGGTATGTGATATTATTCCTTGCCTGGCCTTCAGGTGCTGTGGAAAATAGGTTGACCCCCCTCGTCTCTGTGTCAGCCCCCCAAATATTGGAAGACCCCCGCTATCCTGTCTCCCCTGGTCCTTCTCTTCACTAGACTAGCCATGCCCAGTTCCTGCAACTGTACTAGAATTCCCATCTCCCATTTTAACTCACGTCGAGGTTAACAAGCTCCTTACCTGCCCTCATGCGCACCCGTCGGATATATTTCTCCCCAAGGAAGTTTCGGATCTCGACCAGGGATCCACTTTCTTGAATAACTACATTGATGGGGAAGTGGGCGTACACAGACCTCATCTTATAACGAAAGCCCTGAAATGATACACACTGGTTACACACCGAAGAGAAACCAAATGTCCTACAATTTAGGATCCGGAAGATTTACACCAGCTCATCCAAAAATGGGCAGCTCCCCAGCTGAATGTAGCTGCATTGTCGTATTTGGCGCTTTAAGCTCAGTTTTAAGGAACTTACCAATGTAACCCCCTTGATCATGTTTTGCACGTGGCTGCAAATCGTGCGCACGGTTGCCAGCTCCTTTCTGTTACCCCACCATTTGTCAACACGCAGCTAAAAGGTTGAAAAAAACAGAAAAATTCATTGCAATTCCAGTATGTAAGTAAGTACAGTCTTTCTTCCCCCCTGAAAACGTTTACAATTCTGGAACATTTCACTACATTGGCAATTTTCTAGGCAATTTGCAACTATTTGTACATTTCTAATGAGCCAAGGTATTGTAACACTAAATTGTAATTACATTGTTAATTAATTTATAGATGAGAGCCCACACAAAGAATCAAACTTGACTCAATGGTAGCTAACAAAACTATTTGATTAATGAAGAAAAGGACGAGGGGGGGGGACATGATAGCAGTGTTCCATATCTCAGGGGCTGCCCCAAAGAAGAG